GTGCTTACCACCCTCAAACAGATGGGCAGATTGAGGTAGTGAATCGATCTTTGGGTGATTTGTTACGATGTTTAGTTGGGGATAATCTTCGTTCGTGGGATCAGCGGCTTAGCCAGGCAGAGTTTTCTTATAATCATGCCCGAATTAGGAGCATCGGTTTTAGTCCGTTTCAAGTTGTGTATAGTATTCTGCCTTGCAGTCCTGTTGACTTATTGACTTTGCCCTCTAAGACTCGGTTACACGAGATGGCTATTGACTTTGTTCGTAGTTTGCAGCAGGTGCACGAGGAGACTTGAGCTAATATGTTGGAGTCCAATCGTCAGTATAAAGAAGTTGCTGACCGGTATTGTCGTTCTGTTGCATTTGAGGTTGAAATTATGTTTGGGCAGTGCTAACTAAGGATAGAGTGCCTTCTCAATGAATATTCGAAGTTATCGCCTCGTACCATTGGTCCAGTGGAAATTATAGAGAAGATCAATCCCAATGCCTATCGCCTTCGACTTCCCTCTCATATCTGGACTTCTGATGTGTTTAATGTGAAGAATCTTTTGCCATACCATGGCAATAACATAGAAGACGGTGTTGCCAGTTCTGATTCGAGGGCGAATCCCACTGATCTAGGGGAGAATGATGAGGTTCATGTGGAAGAACAAGCCCTTGCATATTTGGAATGCTTAGATGGTCGGTGTTCGAAGAAAATGGCGTAACTGTTGCGCACAGTGTCCGTTTTGGGCCCATAACCCCATTTCGAAAAACTCGCGACAATTCCCATTGAACTCACCACTTCATTGTGATGTCTGATGGATTTTAGATGTTTGAATTCATTTGTTAAGTCAAAACGGCACTTAGTGTTTCTTAGTTCAATATTTTCAGCATTTATTTATTTTGCTTTGTAGCCTAGTCCATTAAGAGACTGCTGGCCCATTAGATTATACGTTCTTTCCATATTTAAGACTCTAAACGTCTTGTAGTGTTTTGTTTTTGGTTATTCATGAAATAAGAAAAGTTGTTTGTTTTCTTAAGAGCAATCCGTTTCGAGTTGTTATTATTGTGTTTGTAGATTCGAGCTACATCAACAACTTAAACCTATAACCAGATGAAACCGTTCCAAATCATTTTAGTTTGCTCTTGATTAGGATTTATGGTGTGCTACATTTCTGGTAATGAATTAGAAATATTAGCATTTGGCTTGATCCCCAGACACCAGTTTTGGTCTTTAAATATTGAGAATTGAGAACCAATTCCTCAATTTGCATGTTCAACGAAAATATATCACGACAAAAATATTGATGGATAAAAACACAACACATTTACGTGAAACACTCTAAAATTGGATAAAAGTTATGGGCCGCTGAAGACAGAGATAATTTATTATATGAAAAATTATGACAATCATATAAAATCTTCCACGCAACCAAAATCTTTTAGTACACCAAGGATTTACATACTAAGAAAAATTCACGTAGTATGTAGTGGGTAAGACTACAAAGGCATCTACAAGTCTCACACCTAAGATAGCCAATAACTAACATAAAATTGGGATAACTAAAATCCTTGGGGTAGAGACCTTTATATCCTAAACAATATAAAAGAGGCAGTTTGAAATGCACTGTTGATGCTAGATGTCGTAAAAATGGATCGTCAACCATACGACGTCGTATTTCCCAATTATATTTTCTTCTTCTTGCTTTCCCCTTTCATTTACAACTTAGACATTTCCTCCTTTGTCGACTTCAGAAGCCTGTGTTTCACTTTTGCAATTGTAAAAATTGTTGTTTAACCTGTGTTTTACTATCTCAAAAGCAGGAGTGTTAAATCAACTCTCAAGGTTTGTCTATTTTCTTTTAGTTTGGGGTTGGGTGTATGTCTTTTTCCTGAATTGGGTAGGTAATTTTCGATTAGGGTTTTGGGAAATTTGAATTGGTGATGAAGGGGTTTGAATTTTTTATGAGATTGAAAACTTTTTAGGGCTCAAAGGTTTTGATTGATTCAGCTTTTGGTTTTGATCACCTTCTCTACATCGATTCTCGAAGCTTCTTCACGCCGATTCCCAATCCTTTGCAACAAATTCAAACCCTAGCCTCAAATTTATTCCAGGTAGCTGCTATTCTTTCTCTATCTCTTTGCAGAACCTTTTTTTTTTTTTTACTCTTGCTTATTGTACCTATTTTGGGAATTTTGATAAGATCTACCACACCTTGCTCCGAGTATTTCATCATTTTCCCGTCAACCAGGACTGACAGAGGCACCGCGAGAGGCGGTGCTTCAGTCTCTCACAGAGACGATCGGTGTTTCTTTGATGCACGGAGGCACGATGCGTACGGTGTACCTCCGTGCAGGCGGACAAAGGCACGTCGTATCTCCGTCCGCGTGCACGAAGGCACACCAACAATATAAAAGAGGCAGTTTGAAATGCACTGTTCATGTCGTAAAAATGGATCGTCAACCATGACGCCGTATTTCCCAATTATATTTTCTTCTTCTTGCTTTCCCCTTTGTCGGCATCAGAAGCCTGTGTTTCACTTTTGCAATCGTAAAAATTGTTGTTTCACCTGTGCTTTACTGTCTCAAAAGCAGGAGTGTTAAAGCAACTCTCAAGGTTTGTCTATTTTCTTTTAGTTTGGGGTTGGGTGTATGTCTTTTTCCTGAATTGGGTAGGTAATTTTCGATTAGGGTTGTGGGAAATTTGAATTGGTGATGAAGGGGTTTGAATTTTCATGAGATTGAAAACTTTTTAGGGTTCAAAGGTTTTGATTGATTCAGCTTTTGGTTTTGATCACCTTCTCCACACCAATTCTCGAAGCTTCTTCACGCCGATTCCCAATCCTCTGCAACAAATTCAAACCCTCGCCTCAAATTTATTCCAGGTAGCTGCTATTCTTTCTCTATCTCTCTGCAGAACCTTTTTTTTTTTTTTACTCTTGCTTATTGTACCTATTTTGGGAATTTTGATAAGATCGACCACACCTTGCTCCGGGTATTTCTTCATTTTCCCATCAACCAGGATTGACAGAGGTACCAGGAGAGGCTGTGCTTCAGTCTCTCACAGAGACGATCGGTGTTTCTTTGATGCTCTCTAACAGAAAGGTTTTGTCTTTTCCCTAATTTTTTTGTTTTTCTAATTTTGAATTGTTTACTCATGTTGTTGAGTTTGTATTAATTACTGTAATTAAAAAAGTATGTTATTGTGCAATGGAGCAAGAACGAAATAAAAATTTTGATATCAGATTTATTAGATAGGATACTGTTTAATGGAATATGAATATGGTGTTTTATTTGAAAAATTAGTTTGAGGGAACGACTGTAATATTGGCATGAGATGACTCTCTTGTGTTCCAACTTTTATTTGATGACCCTTAATTCTGGGCTGCATACAGTGAATTGGCTGCAAAAGCATTATAGTGTCCAATTCAGAATTTACTACGTCAAAATTATCAGTAAATTGTGTAAAACATTACTGCGTAAATTTCTCTCATGAAATATGCATTGCTAATGGAGTGTTCAAGAATTGACAAACAGTCCAAATTACCAAAAAAGTATAAGCTGTATAATTGGATCGAACTTCTAAATTCCTTATGAGTTTGGAACTCCTTCTTCAGTTATTTCCTCACATTTAGGCACCATCCCAATGGAATCAATTAGTTAATATGATGCATTGATAATATGCACAGCACGTGGAATTGCATTTGTTTTCATGGTCTAATAAACCTATCCAGGTGAAGTGGTAGCTCGATTTTGTTTTTTTAATGTTGATTCCAATGGTTTTGGTGCAGGTAACCCTTGCAACCAGGGATAATGGTTGTGAATAGGTGATCACAAGTGGTCAACAACTCTTGACTTCCTGCAAGGTTAGTGGACAATGATTGTTTTACTTTAGTTCTCTTACTCAATTGTTCTATAATTAACATACTTTTATTGTATTTTTCTCGGACTTCTTTACATTGCAAAAGAGACTTTAATAGAGATTCTATCAAAGGCCATTGAAACTGTTGTGGAGTGGGTCCAAATTCGTAGGATGAAGGTTATGAAATTCTTTGATTTCAGTTTTTTAAAGTCATAACGTTCACTATATCCATTTTTCGAACTAAATTAAAAATGGCAAGAAAAAATTTGACGAATGGAGAAAAGGGCTTTGTTTATTGTTACGTGTATTAAAGGTGTAGGTTCATATGCGTCGGCACTTTATATATAGCTTTTCCCTCATTAGACGAAATTATGCACTATTACAAATTTTTTTTCCTTATTTCTGGAACTCTATTCTTATTCACTCACTAAAATGGAAAAGGGAAAAAAGTGGACGTTTCTCGTATGTTTTTTTGTTTCATTCTAATTGTAAATGATTTTTAATCGTCTTTCCAATTTTTGGGCATTTCTCTTATCTCACTTTTTTTCCAGTTTTATTCTACGTTCCATTTGCCGAGGGACAAAGGGTTCTTTTTTATTTAAGATAATTTCTGCATGCCTGATATTTGGAGGTTTTCTTTGTATTTTTAATCATGTATTCGGTCATGCTCAAGTTTTTACTTCCTTTCATGTACAGTCTGGTCTGGATTTCATAGAAATCAATACTATTTCTCATTGTTGCAGTGGCACAACATCACATGCGTGCGCCCTTGTGGCTCTAGAACCTACAAGAGTAAGTTTTTAATAATATTAATTGAATGAAATTTTCATGATTCTCTGATATTATTTTCTAAATCATTTGGTTGCATACTCATCATTGATGCTTTACTTCCATAATTATTTGTCATCTTTAGATGATACGTGTATCGTGAAGAGTTGATGAAAAGAATCTCAACATATGAAGAACAACTAAGGGTTTGTAACCAAAAACTTAGGTCTTCAGAAGGCAAAATTGCCAGAATGAAAAGTGAACAAAAAAAAGAATGCATCACTGTTGGTAAAATTGGGTGGTCTGGAAACTCAGCTTGAATCAATAAATAAAGAGATAAAAATGCATGAGGTTCATATGCAAACAGAGAACAGAATCCCAGCTACAAATGCAAATAGCAGTATTGGAAAAATCAGAGAAACGCCAAGTTTTTGATTTGCAGGAGTGTATAATAAAGAACACTGCAAATTTAGCAGAGCGTGATTCTGGAATAAGGAAGCTGACTGCTGCACTGCATGATGCCTCAGAAAATTTTGCTTCAGAGAAAGCACAGCTTAAGTCTCATATTTCTAATTTGTCAGAACATTTGACCACCGAAGAAGCAAGGACAAAGGAATGGGAATTGCAGTGTGAATCATTAGCTAATGAGATCGTGCAATGTGAAGCCAACAAAAATGAGATGGAAAACGTGCATGAAGCCTGAGAAGTAAGCTGGTAAGATGAGATTGAGAGAATGACAATAGAGCTATATGAGAAAAATGAACTTGTGAACACTATAAATAAAGATCTAGATAGGCTGAAACTGGAGTTTGACAAGCTCCAGCTCACAAAAATGATCTCAATGCTAAGTTACAGACATTTCATGCAAAGTTAAGTATCCGTGATAAGCAAGTTCAAGAAACAGAGGATCGTCTGCAACAGCTGAATTCTGAAAATGTGTAACTGAGAGCAAAATCTCAAAATGTAAATAAGGTAACAGATAAACTAAGATCTAGAGTTGAGGAATTAGGGAAAGAGATGGAAAGACATAGAGTCTTGATCTTGGATAGAGCTGTGGAGAAAAGGGAGGCTATACGGCAGCTGTGTTTTGCAATAGAGCATTATAGAAATCTGAATGAAGAACTTCGCAGTGCGTTTAAGAGGCCTGCAGTTATGGTCTCATAAATTTGGTAGTTTCCTTTTTGAAGCAAAAAGTCCTCTACAAAAATCTCAAGAAATTCAGATACTGCAGTATGTGTTTGTTATCGTATTGTAATTCATCATATTCAATTTAATTGTCGTAGATCTGTATTTTGCTGTTACTTTGGTTAAGCATGCTTATACTGATTCATGTTTTGACATTGTTGCAATAAATATTCGCAAATAGTATTATTGTGCAGTTGGCTGATTTGTTTTTCTAGGCAAAGATTTTTCTTGCTGTGGTTGTTTGTTCTCTGCAAGTATTATGGGTGCATTTGGTCAATATTTAATAGGTCAATGGTGTTGATGAGTCTGAGTCTTCAAAGTTCCTTCATGCTCAAGAATCATTAGGTCAAGCCATTTAAAAGTCCCTACAAGGTGGGGGTGGGATTGGGGAGTTACATTAATTAATTTCTTCGTTGATTATGGGGGAGACAAATCTAATGACGAAATTTTTTCCTTAGAGTTAGAAGAAGTTGCTATTTTTTAAAGGTCTAAATAAATGTCATGTGGTCTTTGTTATATAGATTAGATTGGCTATAAGGAATTAAAATAACTATTATGCACAATTTGCGCTATGCTTATTGTTAAAAAAAAATTGTCATGTGCATATATCTTTGTTTGAATCCATATCTAAGTATAGATTTCTAATATAAAATCATCAATTTGAATTATCTAACTAAAAAATTATTTTGTTTTGTAATAACAGTGATACCAACAATGACTGTGCAAGAGGATCAACAAAAAATGATAAATCATGTGTATGACATGCTGCATATTTTGCAAATCAAGCATCAAAATAGAACACTTTTACTATTCAGTTTACCTCCGTGTAAAATGAGTTACTATGTTTTATATACAGTAGGCTATATCAAATTTGCCACGTGCAAAATGAGTTAAACTGAGTGACAATATCACTTCCAAATATATGCTCAGACAATTATTTATATGTAAAATGGTATACAAATGAATTAAGAAAATGAGTTTACTGAGTATGAATTGGTAGATGCTCATACTGGTGTCACTAATAAATTAGGCATATTTCTATTTAATTTGAAATTGAAATTAAGAACGTGTCCCTTAACAATCCAAAACAATGAAAAGAGAATCAAAATTCCTGCGTTCGTGTGCACGGAGGCAGGCTGATGCGGCACCAGTACGAAGGCACTGCGGTGCCTTGGTGTGCAACGTGCCTCGGTGTGTAGCGTGCTTCCGTGCGCGCGGATGGACGCAAGTCGTGCCTCCGTTGCACTGACTCAATCAGATGATGATGAAGTTGATGAAGCCAATGAAGTTGATGAAATTGATGAAGCCACTGAATGAATGATGGATGATAAAGATGTTGAACAATTGAAAGCATTTTTTGTAAAAGCTGGATGTAGTTTTTGTTGCTTTTGTCACATCCATGAATGGAATTATGAAGTTAAAATACTAATTTTGTTAACATTGGATTAGTTATTCAACCAAACATCATTTATGGTTGAGTTTGGTTTTATGAATGTTGTAAGTCTTTTTGGTCAGGATATATTTAAGTGATGCTTTACTTATTTCCATTCCAATTTTTATCTCCATTCCAATTTCCACAGCATATATTTAGGTAATGTTTTAGTTTATCTAGATTCCAATTTTCATATTAGTAGTAATAATAATGCAAGTAATAATAGTGATTCCAATTTTCATATCAGTAATAGTAGTAATGCAAGTAGTAATAATACAGAGTATTATGGCTTACTTCATATTTAATATATTTTTTTATCTTCAATATATTTTCAATTAATATATAAATTTACAAATTTCATCATCAATCTTTCAAACTCTCTAACTGCAGGAAAACAGGCAAGTTTTATTACATAAAAGGAAAAATATATATATATATTTATTGAGGAGGAAGGCACCAGCCTCCGCTAGCGTGCCTCCGTGCACGCAGGTGGAGGCACGCTACGCGCGGCTCAGTAGCAGCGTGCCTCCGTTTACGCGGACGGAGGCACAGCCTCTGCCTTCATCCTCGTGCACAGAGGCACGGTGCGCCAGGCAGTTGACAGGACCAAGCAACTGAATGAGGAATTAAATATGGTAGAAGACATTGACGGGGAAGGTTGTCAAATGCAAAGCTGGCAATTTATAGATGATGAAATTAGCAATTGTGTCAACAATTCTACAAATTCCAGTAGCTGTACGTCTCAAACCTATGATAATCCTGAAGATATTGTCCTAGTTTCGAATGGCAAGAAGGAAACTCATAATGAAATCCACGAGGCTCAAAAAACCAATCAACAGAAACTGAACTCTTCTGATTCCAGATGCGATGACATTCATTATCAAAGTGTTCTTTCCAATCTTTTGAAGAGTTCTCAACACCTACTTCAGCAATAGTAACAAAGAGTCAAGCTTTATTAGTTGGAGGAAGGATAGATTGTCGAGTTCTCAGATTCCCCAAACTAGTACTTCACAACGGTTACTAAAAAAAGTCCTTATTGAAGTTGCCAGAATGCATGAAAATTGTCGGCTTGAATCTGGTAAATGTAATGGCAAAAGAGAGAGCCTTTCTAAACCAGAAATAGATCAAATTGATAGAAACCACGTCTTGTCCGAGAGAAAGCGTAGAGAAAAAATAAATGAGCGATTTTTGATTCTTGGATCCTTAGTCCCATCTGGTGGCAAGGTACTTGCAACCGCACTTCTTTTTTACAACTGCATTTGGAAAGCTTTGCCGCTTTCCAAAGCTTCTTCGTGGTTTCTTGCAACTCAGGTAAGTTCAATTCTCCATTTCTTTCGAGCCATGGCTTAGGTGATATTTTAACATTTTTTTCCTTTCTTGGCGATGAGTTTTGCCTTTATCTTCTTTGTTGCTGACTCATGAAGTTGTGTTTATATGGTCATGTAATTAGTCGAATATTTGGGATTTCTGATAGAAGTAATTTTTGTTTTCTTTTTTGGAACAGTTTTCAAATTTAGGTTTTTGATTATTGGTTTGGTATTAGAAATTATAGTAATTGAAAATTAATGAATTATGAGCTCTAGAGTTTTCACAATTTTTTTTCCTGTATGAAAACTCAAATTGAGTGCTGGCAATTTGCTTTTGAGAGGGAAGTTTGTGGAACCATGAATTTTTTTGTGATGAAATTTGCTAAATACAGAGAAAATGTGATGCAAGGTACTACATATATTGCTAAATGCAAGCAAGAATTAGTTTATGTTTTTTAGTGATGAAATTGGGTAAATACAGAGAAAATGTGATGTAAGGTTGGATGGAGGCACTTCTTAGTGCCTCTATCCAAGTGGATGGATGCATTTCTTTATGCCTCCATCCTTGGATGGAGGTAAGGAGAAATGCCTCCATTCAGTGGATGGAGACCTTTAGATTTTATACCCCATAGATTTAAATTTAAAGCATATAATTGCACCTTAAAATTGGCGCTAATTCATCCACATGCATGATGCATCAGTGAACATGATATACTGGAAAAGATATTAGTGGCATTCAGTCCCAAAATCTAAAATTTATGCAATTAAAAACCACAAGGAAAAGGTAGAAAGACAAGCTTACCTAACAGGTACTTCAACTCCATCTCCTATGTCTACTTTGATGGATACACATAGTTTGCATGGTCAAAAGCTCAGATTATTATTGATAAGAACTCCAAAATAGCAAAAAAAAAAAAGTGAGAAGATCAAATCAGACATATTAAAGACAGCAAATGTACAAATCGTAAAAAAAGCCCAAAGATCTTTAGTAATCATAAACCCTCATCTATATCGACATAAACTAATTCTTGCTTGCATTTAGCAAATAATGCAGTACCTTACATCACATTTTATCTGTATTTAGCCAATTTCATCACTAAAANTTTCATCACTAAAAAACATAAACTAATTCTTGCTTGCATTTAGCAATAAATGTAGTACCTTACATCACATTTTCTCTGTATTTAGCCAATTTCATCACTAAAAAATTCATGGTTCCACAAACTTCTGTTTCAAAAGTAAGTTGCCAGTGCTCAATTTAAGTTCTCGTACAGAAAAAAATTGTGAAATCTCTAGAGCTCATAATCCATTAATTTTCAATTATAATAATTTCTAATACCAAACCAATAATCAAAAACCTAAATTTGTAAACTGTACCCAAAAAGGAAAAAAATTACTTCTATCAGAAATCCCAAATATTCTTAGCCAGACCATTAATTACATGACCATATGAATACAACTTCATGATTTAGCAACAAAGAAGATAAAGGAAAAATTTAATTCACTACGTCAATCTGTATTCGAGTTCAATCATACATTCTACATTTCACTGGAAGCAAACATCACGCTAAAACAAACAAAGTTTTAATCTTTGACCCATTGTAATCACAAATTGAAAAAGTATACAATTACAAACAAAACAATCATGGAAAACCCACTTGTTGAAAGTCCTTCAAAGCTTCTTTAAACTTGCCCAATCCCAAATACGCAGTACCTCGTCTATAATAACCCTGTACAAATTAGCCAATCTAAACACATCAATAAATTTCTCAAGAAAATTCATTAACAATTTTTTTGAGCTCGCTGTACATGACTTTCTAAATAACTACTCTTGTTCTTGTTACAAGGTATTGCAAATTAAATTAATATACTTATGATGGTGTCTCTGACGCCGTCTCCCTATTGAGACACAAATTGGCGCACAATTTAGATGTTCTGATTTAAACTTTTCAATTGTTATGAAATTTCAATGAATTTGGTGGTATGTGAATATTATGCTTTAAGTATAAATTGGCAAGAACATTTCCGTTTGTGATTTTTAATTGTGTTTCCAAATATGTGCTTGTCATACTCCACTGTCATGCTCCAGTGTCGAGTGCTGTATTAGTTATTTTCACGTTTTTGCGACATCGCACCAAAATGATAGCAGCCAAAAATTTATAATTAGAAAAGCATTAGAAATCTATGAATAAACCTCATGTTGATGTTGAAGATTGAGAGTATTGAGTTTCAATTTTTGGTTTTGGTTTTTTTAGCTTTTGGGAATTTGGTTTCCACATTGCATTTCAAGTGTTTGATTAAGCTGTAATTTCAAGTGTTTGATTGAAATAAAGATAGAATTGACAATAAAATAAGATCTTACATATGTTGTCTCGACATCAATTTTGGCAATTCTTATCCCTCCCTTCACCATGTTGACAGCTCCGTCCACTTGGACGGAGGCATGAGATGCCTCCATCCAAAGGTGGACGGAGGCATGGAGCCTCCATGCCTCCGTCCAAGTGGATGGAGGCATGGTGGGCCTGTCAAATTCTGCACTTTCTCAGGTGAATGTTGTTTCTGATAAAATTCAACTAAACAGAATTGAATGGATTATGAATTTTGGTTTGAGGTTGTCGAATCAGTATTTTTTGTTTATGCTTTCCAAGTTCATAGGTATGGATTAAAGTGAGAACTGAGACATTTCATGTGTTTTAATCCAGCTAAAATTGAAACAAAGATTTCTAGAAGTACTCTCGGAAGGTTTTCATAAATGTAATGTATGCCTCCTGTTTTTTAATAGGTTGCTACTCCAAGTCGGTCCAACGAGCAAGTTAATCCACCATGTTGATGTTAACACATTGACTCGATAAATTGAAGTTACTTAACTGCATGGGGGTAAATAATTAATTTTTTCGAATCATAAGGGGTATATTAGGTCAGATAATAAGCATCCCATAGGTGTGAGTAATTGAGCATTGAAAATCACTGCAATTATGGCAGCAGCAAAAGAAAATGTTGTTAATTTTAAAAAATTAGGGTACAAGACTAATAAAAGCTCCTATGAAGGAAGAATAGAGAAAGGAGAGAGGAACAGAGCCTTGGTAGATGGAAAATTGGAAATTGCAAGATCAGTTTGATTTTAGAATGGATTCAGAAGAATTTTTTTTT